CAGGGGAGCTTTCCTGCCTTAAAACAGCAAATCATCTATCAGCATTTGTTAGTAGATCTTGTAAGACCAACACTTATTGTGATCTAATGTATTTTAAAATAATTTTAATAGCTTTCTCACTTTTTTCTGTGATATGATAGCTTTCTAAACCTTCTTTATTAACAGTGTAGAATAATTATATAAACTTAACTTATTCCAACAATTTATCTAAACTAAGCAACACCAATTTGCGGGTAATAGAGTAGAAAAACAAATGAGTACAGCAGCAGCCTGGTTAAATGAAGTGTAGTTTGAAGTGAATAAAACTCCAGATGAAATGCATCAAATATCACTTAAGCTAAATCGAAATCAGCATGAGGACTGAGAGCTTCATTGAAGTCATGCAGTGAGTGAGAATTAGTCTGGTAGGATAACCTGGTAATGTCATTAAACTTAAATTTGTCCGCCTTCCTCCCCCCAAATTATACCACCTGCTTTATTTGGATTTTGAGATTTCACATTCCAGGGTTTCTTAAAGTGTACACATGTGATGCTACATGTGTTCTTCTATTTCTTCATAGAAAATATATACCACAGACCATACCTTTTAAAAACAAATACATTTTATGAACTGTTATGGAATCCCTCAGGTAGTATGTTTTGAGTTAGCAGTGAAAATCTCAACTTTATTTCTGACATAAATCAGTAGAATAGCTATCTTTTCTAGTTTCAGTATAATAACCTCAAAATGTATATGGTGTATAAAATACTGTAGTAATATTTACTTTTAAAGCTAGTTGATAAACATTGGTAGCACATTTCAACAGGTAAAATGTTGGCAATGTTAGCCCAGTAAATTCCAGTAAATAGCCATAAATGTTACAAAAGTGCTGTTTCATTTACCTACTAGATTGATGTCTGTTTTAATTTCAGTTAATACCTTTCTTCTTACAAAGAAATGTGCTCAAGCTCACTAGTGAACTAAGTCTTGGACATTTTCTAAATTGTATAGCTAATCTGTTGTTATATGAAAGTAAAAACATCTGGTCTTTTGTTTTTGTCGAGCATAACAAGATGCAAAATACAATGTTAATGTCAATATTTCACAACTACTTTATGTAGTGTTGCATGCCAGATTGTAAAGCAGCTTTCAAAGCTTTCAGGAGGATGTCTAAAAACAACTGAGAATTAGCAGAATATGGTTAGAAGCCTAGAATGAATGACAAAAATGTTTATTGCCAGACAGAAATCTTGAGAGGAATTAGCCGATTTCCTTGTTTTTTTTTTTTTTTTTTCTTTTGACTACAGTGTCTGTGGTAAAAGATGAGGTAATCTAGTCTAAGACACTTTAGTGTTATAACCCTCTGTCACTTATAAAATATCACTTTATTGTGCTTCTGAAGAATTTTAAAGTGGTATTAAAGAATATAGATTTTGAATAGCCTTCCTTTATTTCTCTGATATCTGGATTGGTAGTGAAGTGTGTTGTCTGTATATTTTGAGCTAGATACTGATCTAGTTATGTGTGTTGTTTTATTGCTTTTCTTCTTTTCTTGACTTGGTATTCTCTAAATTCCCTTCATATGATGAGTTTTCCAGACTCTTGTTTTCTTTATCAAGTCTATGTGAAGGTTCTAACTTACTGTCTCCACCTGTAATAGAATCACAGAATAGTAGGGGTTGGAAGGGACATCTGTGGGTCATCTAGTCCAACCCTCCTGCCGAAGCAGGGTTACCTACAGCAGACCGCAGAGGACCTTGTCCAGGCGGGTCTTGAATATCTGCAGAGAAGGAGACTCCACAACCTCCCTGGGCAGCCTGTTCCAGTGCTCCGTCACCCTCAGAGGGAAGAAGTTCTTCCTCATGTTCAGATGGAACTTCCTGTGCTTCAGTTTGTGCCCATTGCCCCTTGTCCTGTCGCTGGGCACCACTGAAAAGAGCTTGGCCCCATCCTCCTGACACCCACCCTTCAGATATTTATAAGCATTTATAAGATCGCCTCTCAGCCTTCTCTTCTTCAGGCTAAACAAGCCCAGCTAAATAGCTTTTGATACTCTGAATGCTGGTGGTATTAGATTATAAATGGGGATGAAGTGATCTGTCCCTGTGTCCTTTCTGTTCATCATCTTAATCCAGTAGTCTACTTTCAAGGGGTCTGTTTCCTTGATAAGGAGTCTCCTCTTGCTCATTTTGAGACCAGAGCAGTATCTGCTGGTTTGCTGTCTGCAAGGAAGCACCAGTACAGACTTGACTAATAGCTGGTCATGTTAAATTGGAGTGTGTGAATGAAGCTTTTATGAACAAGTTGAGGACCTGCTGGGTAGAGAAGTATCTAGGTTTTCATGGCCTGCACTTTAGTTGTTAGAGTACAGAGCAGTTATTTGACTGTTCTTGAATTGTTACTCTATCAGAACAAAAATCTGGAATAGAAACTTGCAAGTAGATCTAGGTTATTACTGGTAAACAAAAAACAATTCTTTGAGAGACAAAATGGATATGATTTTTGCAAAGATTCTTTCTTTTGATCTGTTCTCTGCAGATACTGTCTTAGGAAATAAATTTCAGTTTAAGCATAGGCAGTGTGCTAATCTTAGTCAAGCAGTTTCTGATGAGGAAGAATTCTGGACAACGTGAGATTTGATTTGTGCTGGCATTGTGTCTCTTTCCTTCGGCGTTTTTATTGAAGAGCTAATCATTATTGACAAAAGCTGACAAAAGTTTAAAATTTGGTCTGCTGTTAAAGTAAGTCACGTGTATCCTACGCTGGGCACCTCAGCTGCGCAGAGATATGATGTCACTTATTTCACTTGTGAAAGCTGTGGATTCCAGTCCTGACATAGTTATTTTATTCGTATATGCCCTCACAGTACTGAAAGATCACTACAGAAATCTAGATAGAGATCCTCACATGGAATATATATGTGTATTTTCTTGTTTTTATGAACCCTTAAGAACATTTATATAATATAGCTGTTCTTAATATTTCAACACAGATTTAACTCTAAAGGTAAATATTTACTATGTCTCTAGAATCTGTTGCATTTACATTAGATTGGCATGTTAGGTCATAACCTCCTTTTGGCTGCCTATTGTACACCGATACTGAGAAACATACTTTGCCAGCAACCTGAACATCAGCATTTTGCGTTTTC